GTGTGTGTGTGTGTGTACTGACTGTTTGAAAGCTGGCAGGTAGGAGTAGATGGCGATACTGCTGAGGTTGTAGATGAAGGGAAGGTGTTTGGATATATCTGCTGTCGCCCAGGTGTTAAAGAAACTGTTGAGAACCCCCTGATCTCCACCTGCAGACACGGACACACACAAATTCACTCAGAATAACAGTTTTAGACATAAAGTGAGAGGTAACTAAGAGCTTAAGAGCTCTGGTTTGGCATGTGAAACTACACAAACCTTCCTTCAGGATAGCAACAGTCATGTAAGAATGATTCTGTGCTTTTGCAAGGGAAGGGGGGCTTCAAAGAAAAGAAACAAGCTAATGAATGAAATGAAACTTATTTTAGTGGACTACCTTCCTAAATTAATTGATATTCCAATTCACCATATCTGCACTCTCATCTCTAGCTGTTGAAATCCAGACAGACACACTCATACTCGTACCAACCTGAATGGTCAACACCACACACACATACCGTACATTCCCGGAGACTGTGTCCTTTTCTGACGAGTATAAATAGAAACTGAAAAGTGTTGACAACGCTGTGAGAGGATGCTGCACACAGCGAATGACAACATATGGCGAAATCCATGCACACGCTCACAAACAGATGGCAGATGTATGTGACAGTTCGCAGCAGGCAAAGAGCAGGGGTGAGCTGGCAGTGTGAGGACAAGGTTAGTCCAAGTCAGGGTTAAGACAAGGACGTGTGGGGTAACAGTTTATGTTCAGCCTGTCATTAAGTGAAGGAAGATTCACTTTAGCTATATTTATTGTTTCTGGTGTTCACACAAGGTACTGATGCTGGTGAACCAGTACTTGGGGCTCTACTGATGACCACAAAATGCTGGCTTCAAAAACACAAAGACTGAACCTGTCATGTCAAATACCAGTATTTTTAGCCATCAAATGTCCCACTCAGGATGAATTAGGATAATATCCCCTGACTTATCTGCAGTTATGACCAAATACCTTTAAAAACATCCCTGTCTGCCTTATTTGTACTTTGTGTTCAGCGCTTATTAGCAAATACTAGCATGCTCATATGCTAAATTATAACGATTTATGATATCTATACATGCTAAACATCAGCATTTTAGTGGTTTTCTACAAGAATAAAGCAGCTTTACATCGCTAACTTTACTTACTGCTGCACATTTTACAGATGTTAGGGGGGTGTAGTTGCCTTGACAGATAATATAGGCCTCTAGAACTTCAAAACTCAATTGCTGATGATGGTTTTTGCCTGGTTATGTCAATTGATTTACTAACAATTTGCTCAAATTTGAATTTTCATGCCTCTAGGATTCAATTAAACACCTGAATTCTATAGTGATCACACACACTCTATGTGGTGTAGGTTATACAAGCAATAGTAAGAACCCATTATCAGTCAAGACCATAGTTTTATCTTCATATTTCTATGCTTAGTTTTCTGCTTGTTATCAGAAGCACCAGTTCTCATTTCTGATAAGCCCTTAAGCGACAGAAAAAGAGATAAAAACACTCGGGTCTCACCATCGAAGCTGCCGTTTTCACTACAGAAGGCGAGCAGCTTCTCGTGTGTCTCATTGGACGGTCTGAAGACAAACACCCCAGAGTTGAAACAGTCTGGCCAACCAGGATCTGGAGCTGCAGACAGTTCCTCTCTCTCAAAGAGTTCATCTATATTTGACAGCACCTGAATAAATCAAAATAAATGTTACTTACTTACTTGCATGTGTTGAATTTCATTTAATTTTCTGAACTACTTCTTAACTCTAAGATGATGTTTTATTGCCGCTGTGTATGTTTTCTCCTATTGTCTGGTTTGCATCTCACCAATGTGTCCGCGTCCATGAACACACACTTGCTGTAGTGTGTGAGAGTCCAGCAGTGCAGTTTGGTGAATGTCACCCCCAGGTCCGGACGCTTCATCAGGGATAGATGAGCCGTATCGCCCGAGTCCATAACATCCACCACACGCACCTCATCAAAGATGGAGCGTAGTGCATCTCTACAACGCAGACAGTATGACTTATGTCAGCGTGTGTTGGAAATAATTAGTGTTTAAATAAAGCAGTGGTTCTAAAACTTCTTCTAACAGAGACGTGTGTTACCTGCAAGGTTCTGCAACATGAGGCCCTATCAGTGCGACCAGCTTCTTGGTTGTGTTGTGGTTCCGTAACGACTGGCCGAGAACCATCGCTCCCTTGGCGTAGTTGTCTGTTGTGGCGAGCGTCACAAAAGCTTGGTCTGCTTGGAGAAACAGAAACATACGGTTATCAGCCATGTGTTTGATGTGAATAGCTCCTAACAACACTTAACAATGGATTATTTCTGTATAGAATTAGCTTTGTCGAGAACATTTCTTTTACAAATGTCAAATATTCATTGCAGAACAGAAATCTGTGACATTTTTGGTGAAACTGACAGCAGCTATGAGCTCACAACAGCCTCATAACTAGTAAATAACGTGGGGGAAAGAAATGTATAAAGTGCGTTTACTTAGGTTTCATACTCAAGGACAACCATGAGAACGTGGGTAGTTTATAAAAACCATCAAAACCGACACATTACAGTGAACTCTTCACAGCCTTTTCTTCCCCCAAATAAGGAAAATGGGATGCAGCCAAACTTTAAAGCTCAGATCACCATAACAACTCGCAAGGAAGGGTTACAATGAGATACACCAGTCGATTCATGGGCAAGAATCTCTCAAACAGCGGGCAGAACGCCAGCAGGGACCGACGGGGTTAATGAAAAACTTCATGAGAACTTCTGCTGCTTCCCCAAATCTCATGCACACTGCTTTTGTTATTAGGCTTTATATTCTGTGCTACACTGTTACAGTAATAGATGACCTATTAATCACGCTGATGCTAAGATAAACAATTTACACTACATATGTAAATATACAAATGTCTCTATTTTTATTACCTTAAAAGACACCGTCCAGCATTTCTTTTTACACGTATTATTAAAGTCAAATAGAAATGGTAAGAAAGCAACATTTTGTGTACTGTCTACTATATAGTTGTAGCTTAAACTAATGTTGCCCTTGTACAGTAAAATACATTAAATCTATATACCCTTTTCCCACTTTTCCTCCAACAAACATGAACTAACCCCTCAAATCCACTGCCCTGTCCTGTCTATGCTGTATAACCCACTGCACCAGTACCAGTATGTCCAATTCCTCTGCAGGCCTTTTGTGTGAAGTTCAGTATCTGATGAGTCTCTCTGTCACCCCCCCCCTGCATACATTAACAATTATAGCAGGGGGCACAGTGTCTTGCTGTTCTAGTGAAAGCAGGCCCAGAGCCAGCAGACAGTATTCATCAAGCTGAATGTGTGTGTGTGTGTGTGTGTGTGTGTGTCTGTGTCTGTGTTGCAAGAGGCTACAGGGAAACCTGACCTGGGGACGTAGTGTTGTACAGTTGCTAAGTTCTGTTTCAAGGAACTATAAAGCGACTATAAGAAGAGTTTAAGGCTGGTCTCGCCTACAAGTCAATACAGGAAGCATGTGTTGTGTTCCCACAGAGTCATCTGTGGCTTCATATAACCACCTGACTCACTACACCTCTGGCTCTGACATGTTTCAAAATGATAAAGTCTAAAGATATTTATGAGTTTCCCATCCTGGTAATGGTAGACAGATTGAAAAATGCAATGGAGAATCTATAAATATTCAAATGTCAAATGTATTGTTGAATGCAAATGAAATATACAGAATATATACAGAGATGTAAACTATAAGGATTGTTTTTTGTATGTAACTTTATGGTAATATGTTACTCTGCATTTCTGCCTTTACACACTGTTATCAGTTAAAATAACTTTTATACTCATGTGTAGTAGTAATACACTAATGGTAACAAAAGCTGTGTGGGCCTTTCCGAGTGTAAGAAAAGGCCACACACTGTGGCGCACGTAGACACAGAGAAACAGCTAGTCAAGTTAATTAAAGACCCCACCTTAACCCCGGAAGTTAATAGCATCCTCTTTAAAAAATAAAAGCATGACCTGAGCTATGGAATAAAGTTAAATCAATGAACTGGGGAAAAGTTTTAGATATTTGGAGAACCATCAGATTCTTTTTGTGCACTAATCAGTAACAGTGGAAAAAAAAAAATCAATTTCATAACATGTGTGTTGGCAAGGCCTGATAACCGTTTAGGGGCCCCTATTGATCCCACTGTTTCCATTACTGACTGATAGGGCTGCAACTAACTATCATTTTCATTATCAATTTATCAGCCGATTGTTTTTTCTGATTAATCAGATAATCGTTTCAACTGTAAGTTGTAATTTGATTAAGTGCAAATGTATTTAGAGATATATACCATGTAAATGCAATATAAACTGAACAAAGTTCTTGAAACTAGATTTTATTTCAGGGCTTCTTTACAAACAAGAGCCTCAAGATTATGTAATAATGCAGGTGTCAACATACAGGAATAGACATTTTGGGAAATATGTTCATTAGCTTTCTGGCCAAGACTTAGATGAGAGGATCGATACCACTCTCATGTCTGTGGTGTAAATCTGAAGCTACAGCCAGCAGTTCTGTTTTCAGTCTTTGTCTAAAGCTAAGCTAACCAGCAACAATTTAGTGTACATGGAGAAATCATCAATGTTGGTAATGCAATGTCAGTCATTTCAACTTGCCCACTTTGTGACACCCAGTTGTGCAGTGTCACAATCCCACACTTCCACTCTGACTTTACATCAGCTGTGTGCACACTTATTAAACCTCACCAATATGAGTTATAGCAATAATATGTACCAGTTGTAATCGTTGGTACGAATACCGCTGTAAATAGTTACACAACTAAATGTTAACGAATAAATTAGAGAAAGATTTGTTTGAGATTAATTTACAAAACGCGACTTAACACTAACAAGAATTTTTTTCAATGGCAAAATTGTTCCCACTATCTTCACAGTTTTTTTTAATAGCCACATTTGAGCGTTTAATCATGTTTATGTGATATATTGATCCATCTTTTTTTTAAACTCTCAAGCATGGATTGAGTATAAACAAAGTGCTAGTCTTAACATTAAGAATGAAAAAAATCCACTGCTAAAAAACTGGTATTTTCAATTCCCATCAAGACCTGAGTTTCCTTACTTTGTGATATTCTGGCATTTTTTTGTTGCACTCAAAAACGCTTAACTGTTGAATATGGGAAGCCGGATGCGCTCTTTTTTGTTGGGAACCGAGCAGACTTTACTGTGGTTCCAAAAGACCGCTGCAGCAGTTTCTCAGTCAAATCAACCTCACAACCTCAAACAGTGTCCACAGCAGCTACTGCGACCCAAGCATGAACCACTCAATCCAGTTGCCTCCTATTCAAGTCACATCCGAACAGCGTGCGTCTGCACGCTGCATGTAATAATCGCGATGCCAAGCTTTCATCAATTCGCGGATATTCATTGGTGAGAACGGGTCAGTACCGCGCGAAGCCCGGTCCAAGATCCCCGGAGCGACGAAGGGCCTCGGTATCGGTGTCAGGTGAAGCGGCTGCGGTGTGCCGATCGAGCCCCGAGTGGGTCAATTACCTGACAATAGGTGCCGTTGAAGTAGAGTCCGGCCAGGGAGCCAGGCGGTCGTAGATCGAGCAGAATGAGGGTTTGACTGGCGAAAAAAATGGCAAGAAGCTTCCACCAAGCCATAGGGAGCAGTACCAAACACAAAGAATTAAGCCCCATCAATTTTCCGGGTACATGTGACCAAAGTTGACAGGTTCACAACGCCCACTTCTCATCTCGTCTCTTCTCTCATACTCTCATCTCACTCTCTCTCATACTACTCGCAAATTCACAATATCTCTAAAATTATTGATGACAAATAATAAGTATAACACCGCTTTAATGTTGCAGCAGATGAATATGAGGCTAATATTAACTACTTTACATACTGCTAGTTTGTTTAATCTCTAAATCATTTTTTGATCTTTGATTTTTTGATTTTTCTATTAATAATCAAAATCTACAAGTAACTAGTAGGCCTGTACAACTACAGCTGTCAGATTAATGTAGCGGAAGTGTAAAGTGGCATACAATGGAAACACTTAGTGTAAGTAAAGTACAAGCACCTCCAAATTGTTGGCTGTATAAGTAAAGTACTGAAATAAATGTACATTATATACATAAAGCTACAGTCCTGGAAGTTTCCCATAGTTTTATAAAACCCCTACAACTAAGGAAAAACAAGAAGGCACTAAAACTGTAAACTCTTTGCCCTTTATTATATATTTTTATTGTTGTAATAAGGCTTATATTACCAGAGTTATTTTACTCTATGTACTACATTTGTCCACTATATTTTCACTCCTATTTCTTTATGCTTATTAACGTTTTTATTATTGTAAGGGGGAGAAAGAAATTTCTGAGAATCAAAACAGGAAAAGTAAAAGAATCATCTAATAGTGACAATAAATAACAAAAGTTGCTTGCAATGCTTCCCAGTGTATGTAGGCCTTTGTTTGTCTTTTCCTGCCTAATCGCACTCAGGAATAAAGAGTATCCCAAGAAGTCATACAGATGACACAATGATACAAACAGCAGTGAAAAGAGATACTCGTAACTTGAGTATTTTAATTTTTCATCAGAAGTTGTCATCAGAAGATTAATTACTTTGTGTCTGATTACAATCTGGTTTTAAAAGGTTGTCAAAAAGTTGTTATTACAGTTAATATATATGATGTGTGTCCTGTGTGTTTCAGTTTAAACAGTGAACGGCGTCTGCAGCCACAGCAGCAGGATGAACCTCACACTGGTCTACTTTTCTAAGAAAACAGGAAGATCCTCATTACTCCTTCGGCTTGAGTCAGCACTGCTTCTGTGTGGTCAAGACTTCACATTACAGCCGAAAGAAGCATTAAGGCCTCAATCAAACACTTGATACTTGGCCTATAATCTCAGGTTCATTTGGACTCTGGAACCTAAATGAGAAAATAATTTAGTTTATCGACTTTTACTGAAATCAGGTAGTGATTAAATTAGCATTTTGTGTTATTTCTTCACAAAATTCTGTTGTCAAGATCACAGACTCCATGCAAAATTGCTATAAAAATGACTTATTGACACGATAAGGGATCTCTTTACAGAAAATATGAACAGGAGGTTGATTAAAGCATCTAATGATGACAAATTGATTCAGAAGAAGTGTTGAAGGCTTTTAAAAAGATTCTTCTTCATGTGTTTCTTCCAGTCTTCTCACATTTTCTCATTTAACATCTGGATTTCCTATGTTTTGTTATTGGAAATGATTATGGCTCAACTTAAAACTAACCTGTGCAACAGAACTATGATATTCCCTTAAATTAAACTCTTTAACTGCAGTAATAGAAATACCTTAATCACTTTGTATATGTTTTCAGACTATTTAGGCCCTTTTATGTGTGTTTATGTAGTATGTGGTTTTCACTCTATTCACCTTTCTGCGCAGGTGTTCTGACATGCCAGTGAATAATGCAGAAGGCTTATGAGAAAGTCTTTGGCTGGCTGTTACAACTTTTACACCAGCAACAGATCCTGGCTCAGGGTCCACAACCAAAACCGTGGCTGGTACATCAAAGGCTGGAGGTGGAGCGCTTGCCTCAGACCGGCGATTAGGAGTAGAGGGTAACCGGAGAGCACCTCAGAGTCACAGAGTGAAACTGAGCTGATCAGGTGTCTGAGATGATGGAGTCCCGGAGCTGTGAGGATTCAGAGGCGACCTTTAGATTCTGTGTGACTTTGTACTAAATAGATATAAAAATGTCGTGTTTGTCTGAACTAAGAGAGGAACAGAGAGGTCTTGTATCTTGGTTTCGGCTTGATTATGAGACTTTTTGTGTGTCTTTTTGAGCAGCGGTAGAGGTGAAAGGAGAAGCAGGTAACAGAGAGGAAGGAGGGGAGGAGTGAGGGAAAAGGGGTTAATAGAGAAGGGGATAAGTGAAAAGGAGGGGCTGGGAAAGGAAATAAGGAGGAAAAGGGGCCAAAAGTGATTTTGAGTCTGCAACAAGGTGATTTTCTACTTTGGACTGGCCCTGCTCCGAACTCTAAGCCCTTCAGCTTGCCTGGGACTGAATGTAAGCTCCTTACTTTCCTTACATTACACTTAGTTTCTAACAACCTTTCTGCACAATGTAAAGTTGGCAATCTCTACTATACTGCAGCTACAGAAAGATATTTCCTGCAGCTTTAAAGTTCAAATAACACTGATTTAGGAAGAAAAATGTATAGAGACAAGGAGGCAAAATATAGTATAATCTGCTACTGTTTTAAAGCATTGCTGTGTGCTTGAATAAGGAGTGATTGGTACAGTAAAGCGGGAACGTTGCTGTGAAGTGGGGCAGTTTAATCTAAGTGATGCAGTTGGCTCTGTGCCTCAGGTTACAGAGCATTGTTTAGCAGTAAGGCAAACTATGCAGGCAAACACAGGCCTCATGTTTTAAACATGTTTGACAGAAATGCAAAATGTGAGCGTGGTCCGTTCAAAAAACCTGTAACGAAACACATTGTGAGAAAAATTCATCCTGAATACATTTCTACAAGATGCAGCAACAAGACAGTGTATGTTTAATAGTTATTGTTTTTTGCTTATTAATTGTATAATTATTGTTAATTGAAATCCCTCTTTAACTGATGACTATTCAAAATATGCCCTGAGCTGAGCCTCACAGGTAGCACTTACTTCTGTGTACAGTCGCAATAAATATTTACTCAAACAATTAGACATTTTTGCCAGTACACTTATTCTATTTCTTGTTGGGACTTAGATGAGTGGATTTGTTTTTTGTTTTTTAAATGTTATAGGAGCCAAATGCCTACGTCTAACTATTAATGAATAATTCTATACGAGAATAATTGTTAAATATAGCTATTATTTCATTTCAGCTATGTAAAAGGAAGGATTTTTGCTGTGTACTTGGGGAATGCGAAAGACAAGTAAAACGTCTGAGTAGACATGCGACTAACCCTCAAAACCTTCAGAAACTTTGAAATTTGAGCCAATTTAGTTAAGGGTTGGCAAGGTTAGCTAATATTAGCATAAATCATATAGTCTGAAATAGCTAGCCCTAAAAACCATGAATGACAATTCAAGATTATTTCTTGTTCAGGATCAGTTGCCAGTGTAAAAAAGGCCCCACAGCAGCACCTACTGCCAAAATGTGGACATAACACAGTTTGAATTTGCCACACTTGTTACTAAATTGTCCTTGTTAGTGTTTTCCTTATAATGAATTTATTTCTTGATTGCTATTTATATCTTCCATCCCTATCTGCTGTCCCTCACATTATAACTATAATGCTGTAGAAATGTTGATGCTTTCTCTTCTGTAAGTTTGTAAGTCTGTAAGTCAGACATGTGCTTTAACAGCAGATCAATTGCCCAGAAGAGACAAACAGATTAACCTCTTTCTGTGGACAATAACATGATGACACAGCTGAGGTGTTAAATGTTAACTGTTCAGACTACGCCTGTCCCAGGGTCCAGGCAGGCCAAAGGTCCACTCTGTGCCTCTCCCAGTCGGCTCCTCCTAAGAGAGATAACCAGCTCTCCAACCTCTCCGGGATACAGCTTCCAGTCTGCGCCGGTCTGAAGCCTCGCAGAGTTCTGGAAGACTCGACTCCTGTAGCTAGTCCAGAAGGATCTGCACCGAGAGGCTTATAACCCAAGACAGGGCAAACAGGAAACACACAGACTCTTATGAAGGTACCCGTCTCTGTCTCGGTTCTGTGTTGTCTTTTCCTTTGTCGTCTCCTCAAGCAAAGAACCAAGGGGATACTTTTTACTTTTTGTAAAATGCTAAGACCTCTGGGTTTTTATGGGGAACCTAAGGTGTGTAAATGTGCCTCAGTCGGTGCAGAGTCAAGAAATGTCAGTGCTCTGCTGACAGTGAGAAGTCACAAGGCTACCTTGGACATATTCCAGTATATAACCTGACACTTCCTAATTGTTATTCTGCCTTTATGCCATCTCTTCCATCGAACTCAGCCTTTGTTATTTCTGTTTCTGTTTCTGATTCTCTACGTCTAAGTAAATGTATGTGTTTGCAGCATTAAATAGGTCATTCATCTGAGTAAAAGCACCAATGCAACTATTTAAAAATTCTCTCATGTAAAAGCCCTGCATTCAAAGTCCTCAAAAAGTATTCTTTGTGCAGTCAAATCTGCCCCCTGTGACTGATAAAGTATTATAAATCACATTATTAGATTGTTATTACTGATGCATCACTGTGTAAGCATCATTTTACTGTTGTAGCTGCTCGAGGTGGTTTCTATCAGGGTGCCTCCAAAGGTCACCAGATAAATCTGAGTGATTGTGAGACGGTTTATGAGGAAAGAAGAGTTCTGCGACACAAATTTGAGTTACTTTTTTAAGACTTTTCTCTAATCTTTCCTTTTTCTTTGCGAAGCCTTGGATAATTTTACCTCTTTGGTTTTACCTCTTTGGTAAAATTATCTGAGACATTTATAGGGGAAATGTCTTTTTGGTGCAACTGCTAACAACTAATAGACATCTGAAACATGACAAGGAGCACAAACTGCATGCACGCACTTTTTGTAGTTTTGAGTTTTGTCACAAAACAAAAGGGTTAGGGACCGCTGGTTTGTTTTTAATGTAAAATCTTATTCTGAAAAGTAAAGATCTCAGATAAATATAGTGCCCTAAAGAGTACACTATTCTCCCATGTAATGTATATCATATTATAAAATGGAACTACTCAAAAAAAGTACAAGTACCTCAACATTTTACTGAAGTACAGTACTTGAGTAAATGTATTTAGTAACTTTCCACCATGTTAAGTTGACATATTGCTCAATCTTGCAAAATCATCTTCTACTTTGTGTCCAGTATGATACGAATGTGTGTGTGCATGTTTCAGGTACACAACTCAGAAGCTACTATGGAGAACTATGTCACACAGATTTCCAGAGAGGACCTGGAAGATCTCAGAGAGGCCTTTAATAAAATTGGTCAGTTTCACACACACACACACACACACACACACACACCTAACCTGAACCTACAGTTGTATTGACAGGGAATTGTGACTTAAGTAGGAGTTTTACAGTTGACCATAAAGTATGACCCTTAGGTAAGAGATTTTTATTGCTCAGATTGTTGAGTGTTTGTATGTGCGTGTGAAGTATTTTTAAATGTAATAGGGGTGCGTTGCCAGATTTTATCAGTTTATCATCATAAATGTATGATTACAAAAAATGCTCATGATAGTGAGCAATATAAATAAGGCATATCGCCTTATTACTGTAAAATATACAAATACAGGGCACAAAAGATAAACCAAAATGTAAAGGTAAAGTGGGTGAGATAGGGCCTTTGTCCATGTTAAAAGCACGTTTTATGTTATTGGTCCCATAATGTAATTTCCCACAAAAGAACTGAACACTTATGGAATGTTATTTGGTACTAGTTATAGATAAAGGTGGAGATGGTGTTTGATTGGCACATTTCCAATTCACTTAATTGTGATTTTTTGCAAACATAACCAAGAGCTGCTATTCCCCTCTGATAGGTTAAGTGGTCCAGTGAGGCTGTAATATTATAGCTATATAAAAGCTGAAGTCCAAAATGTGTTTCTCATCTGTAGCAGTTATGAAGTAAATGTAATAACAGCCCGCAGGATTATATCAGCATAAAAGTTTATCATGTTGTGAGCATCAAACTCTGAAGCATGGCATAGTTTATCAGTGTGAGGATGGCAGAAAGGTCAACATGTTAATAAATAACATATAATAATAATTTTTTTATATTAGGACATAAAGTATTTCAGTATGTACAAACTGCTGGTTGTCATTCCTGTACAGTTTAAACATCATAGTATGTGTTTGTTTGCCACTGTCACAGTCTTAGCTTTAGCATGCCAAAGTACAGCTGAGGTTGACAGGAATACCATTAGTTTTCCAAGTATTTACTCATGAGCCAGAGTACATAGGATAATTTTAAAATTTGTAATCTGACCTGACGGTGGCGTGAGAGGAAAAAGTCAGAGGATGAACAAAGTTAAAATGCATCCTCTGGAGACCATGAATGCATGTTGTTGAGATATTTTTTCTGTCTAATTCTTGTGAAACAGTGGATACTTTGACCTCTTAAGGCCTGTAATTGAAAAATCCAGGCAACAACTGTTTTATTACTCATAACTTGTCTCCACACTAAGGCAAAAACATGTTGTCAAATTGTTTTTGCACAGCAGGTCAGCAGAACATTAAAGCATCTGAAATCTGTATGTAGGCAAGCATTTCAAGCAATTCAACATAGAGAGTTTAAAATAATAAATGAATAATGGATTCATATTTATTTGGGTTTAAATGTAGCAGTTCTTCTGAGTAAAATCTAACTAATTACTGATTGTAAACTCAACACAAAAATTAAACTCAAATATTAATCTTCTCACTATAATCAGTACCAAATGAAATAGCTATTTCCAGGAAACTATTAGGAAATTACATACCAGTAATAAACCATTTATCGTCTGTGTGCAATATTTACCAATAAATACTGGGCTCATCAGTTTTAGATTGATATTTGTAATGCAAATTGATTTACTATATCTGTGTGTGCGTTTCTCTGTGTGTTCAGACATTGATAACAGCGGCTTCGTGAGCGACTTTGAGCTCCAGGAGCTGTTCAGAGAGGCGAGTTTCTCTCTGCCGGGTTACAAGGTGCGAGAGATCATGAAGACCTTCCTCGCTGGAGACACCAACAAGGACGAGAAGATCAGCTTTGAGGAATTTGTTTCTGTGAGTTCTGACATGAGATTGAGATGATATCAACTTTCTCATACAACCCGACACACACGCAGTAACACAGCCTGTCCATGTTCAGATCTATCAAGAGCTGAAGAGTAAGGAGCTCTGTGAGACGTTTAGGAAAACCATCACAAGGAGAGATGGAATCCGCTCCTTCGGAGGAATGTCAAGGATCTCCAGTGAGGGAACGCAGCACTCCTACTCTGGTGCGAGAAAGCATGCAGTATATATGTGTGTGTGTGTGTGTGTTTTAGTAATAGTTTAATCCTTACTGCATCTGTGACTGACACTCATGTATGCATATGTATGATTAGCTCCAGTTTGTACCTCTCATGCATTGATATTACACTCAAGTCATTTAACTAAGTATCTATTTTCATGAAAAATAAATACTCGGTTATCTTGAAAACCCCAGAATACACTTTTCTGTTCTGTTCTGAAGGTGTTTCAAGAACATCAAAGACTCTGGGTCTGGACGAAATATAAATCAAAATATTCTGTCTTTTGCACCTTTTTTTCTTAATCTGAACAAAGATGGCAGCAGGTGTTTTTGTGCTCTGTGGCCTAATTGGGATTCCCGGGTTTATTGCCGCTGCAGATATTTTTTATTACACTTTATTGCATGCTGTAATTTGATAGCTGTTACCAAACATGGTTCCACTTTCAACTTGTGAAATGTGTTAAAAATCTGAGGTGAAGAGGAAGGAATATTTTTCATCCAGATGAAGAGGATGTTTTGAAACAGCTTTCAAAAGAGTGCAGTTTAAATACCTTCTTAGTTTGATATTTTATGTTGGTATATTTCTGAAAATCAAATGCTAGCTCTGTTGAATGTAATGGTAACACATGACAGGAACAAAGTGGGGCTAATTTATCAATAGATGAATGTTACACTATATGAAGAAATTTCCCTTTGCACAAATTGTACATATAAACATTTTCTTTATGGCGGTGCAAAACTTTACTTTAAGTCTCCCTAATTAGCATTCCTAGGCAGTAAACATTTAATAAACAGTTTATAACACACTATGATGTTGTTGCAAGATATACTATACTTTATTAATTTATTTGTTCACAACTGCAACTCCTGTAGATGATAAATGACTATAATAAAACATAATATAATAAAATATGTCATATATATCCTTTGAATAATTGCTGACAAATTCTGTTACATTACATTATACATTAATACACACTTAAAATGTTGCATACAATATATTGCTTTGAATATTAAACCAGAGAAGGAAATGTTTGTCATGCAAATGACGATAAATCGATTATCAAAATAGTTATTAATTACATTTTTGTTAATCCACTGATCGTTTCTGCTCTGACACATTCTAATATGCGTGTGTGTGTGTTTAGATGAGGAAAAGGTGGCATTTGTCAACTGGATCAACAAAGCCTTGGCAAAAGATCCAGACTGCCAACACCTGCTGCCCATGAACCCGGACGATGAAAGCCTCTTCACCTCTGTCCGTGATGGCATCCTGTTATGGTAACAAACACACACACACAC